CTGAGACCGCTTCCTCAAGTGAGGGAATCCTCGTCTGAGCCAGTAGCATAGCAACCCTCTGCTCAAACATCGGGGCCAGACCCTGGAGGAACACCATAACCCTATCCTCCATCTCAATCTCAGAACATATAGGATCAGTGCAGCATCGTCGTCAGACCCTAAAGTGGCCCTGATCCAGCCATAAGCGATCCAGTTCTATAGCATACTCCTGCACAGTCTTCTCCCCCTGTACCAAAGCCGAGATCTCCCTCTTGATTTGGTACACCCGCAGGTTGTTCCTAGCACCATCGTAGGTCCTCCTCAGCTTTTCCCAGACATCATGTACCTTCGCTATGCCATCCACTGTGGACGCAATACCCGAAGTCAGTGAGCTCAGGAGCCAAATATATACCTGCATGTGAGTTGACTTCCACTCAGCTCTCTCAGGTGCATTCTGACTCGGCTCCTCCTTCTCTCCAGTCAAGTACCCCTCCAGACCCTTCCCTTCCAGAGTGTACCTCACCCGACGCGACCAGCTTAGATAAGTGGCTGGACCCTCGAGTTTCATATCAATCGGTGGCAACTCAATCTTCTGCTTTGGCTTGCTCTCACTCGCTGACATCTTGAATGCTCGCATCAGAACCACGACATCATCAGGATTCAGCTTTGACATCACCTCGGCCAGAGGATTTGTGTTGCCACTCCCCTCCTCCTTCTCGGTCGTCATTGATCTGATTCCGATCTACGCCTCGAGTATCGATCTAAGTCTAGATCCACATCACCTCTAACCTCTTCATCTTCCTTCTAACCCGATCTAGATCTTATCTCATCAAGATTCAAGTTAAACAAAAAACTACAGAACCCGATTAATAACCCAATCCAAACCCGCTGCTCAGGTATCGTGGGTGGAGGCCGGACGATCTCTGTCCCCAAATTTCTAGGGTTTTAAGAATCCCAAAAACACTCTCAAATCAAAACCCTAACCTGGTGGTGGAGGCGGCTGAACAGTGTTGATGGCCGGAGACTGAAGCAGTGGTGGCCGGAGACTAATGGTGATGGCTGACTGATGGCGGCGGCTGAAGAAGCAGTGGTGGCCGGAGACAAGGACTGATGGCGGCGACCGAACCTGGTGGTGGTGGAGGCGGCACTAGGGTTAGGGTTAGGGGCTCTGATACCAAATAGGAATTTTGAGAGAGAGAAATTGAATCAGGAAAAAGCCACTTTCTTCATTAACCTCTTAGGCTTATATAATGTGTTACATTTTACATCCAAGCCCTTATCTTTCTATAAACTACATATTTCAACACCCTTCCATGAATTTGCATTTCCAACTACAGGGCAATCCTCACAGATAGTTAATTTGGACAATCTAATATCTTCATTGTTCAGGTCAAGATGGCAGAGGATGGTGTAAAGAGAGTAACCGGTGCCAGTCCAATGTTTCCAACAATGTCCGACATGTCCTCCATCAGCATTCCCTTTTCCGGGAGCCCATCTGACGCAACTTCTGAAGCTGCTGTGCCCATCCAGGATGACCCGAACCTCTTCTTCCAGGCCCCACCACCCAATGACCAGAGAACGAACTCCGGCCTCCCTGAGCTCACCTCCTCTGCTCCTCCACCCATTGATGGTATTATCAATGGCTCTATGCCTGGAGGAAAGATGGGTCGAACTGCGTCCATGCAGCGGGTGGCGAGCTTGGAGCACCTCCAGAAGAGGATCCGTGGAACCCCAGGCTCATGGGGGTCCGGTCCGTGGGATTCTGCTGGGTGGGACCCGGAAACCTCCGGCAACAAGAAACATAACCAGGTATGAAGATGTATTTATGCTAGCTATTGTGCATTGGAGCGTAAAATTAATCCCTATCCCCATTGTTATCTATTATGGATGCTGTATGTGCTGCAACCTCTTGTTTGTCTAGCGTGTTTATGATGTGCTTTTGTGTCATGAGTCTTATGTATGGGTGGTATACAGAGTTTACATGTATTCGTCTCCCATGGCGTTTTTGCCCATTTCAATGTAAATGAAGATTAGAAATGCAATGCATTAGTTTATGGACTTTGCTCAATTTTCTTGTTCCTTGAAGGGATACTCTCAACAGTTGTAGATCCACCAATACGTACTTTCCCCCCTTGTTAATTTAATCAAGTGGAAGTTATGCAGCAGTGGCAATCAAATTACGCTCCGCTAATTGAGGGACCCAACAAAGGCATCTGAAACCAACGGTACTTGCTTGTAGCATAGACTATGGCATCTCTGGTCCCCAAAGGATATACCATGATTTGTTGGTCAACCTTCTTGCTGTATTATTTTCCCCTTCCCAACTTTTAGATAACGCACGTAAAGTCTCACCGTCCTTTTTAATGAAGCTTTAATTAAGTTGGGATTGAATGAGGTGTGTAACATTTACATGTAAGCTCAATAGTGCATGTGCTCATATGTATTGTTGCCTTCTTGTCTGCTTTGCCCTGCTTTCGCGTTCGTAGTTTTAGCAATATCGGGATAAGAGTTTTGACTTGTAAGGACAAAAAACAATTAATTATAACTTTAATTAAAAAAAAAACCCTTTTGACTATAGAGTTGATACTGCATCTTACTTATTTTAAATCGATCTGTACTAAACCGTGTACTTATATCGGACCAACCTATATTAAACCGTGTCAAGCGATAAGCTGACTCAGAATGGGCTTAAACTGTGAAGCAATCTACTCTGAAGTCAATGGAGTAAGTAAAAGAGTAAAACGTTTCAACCTCCAACGTCTGATAATTACCTACTTGATGGATTGTGTTTGTTTCCTTACGCTTGTGTCAATTTTCATAAATCGAGGAACTTTCATCGCTATGATCAATTAAGAGATTGTACAAGACTCTCATTAATCAAAACCAAATTCATCTGAGAGTGGATCTATGATTACAGTTTTGCCTTTGCTTGCCCTGAAAAAGACCAGTCAAGAGATCAAAAGGACTGATTGTGAGATTTATGTGTTATTGTTGTGCGCTTTTGGTGAACGTGACCAGTGATTGATCAGGCATTTAGGCCTGTTTCTCTCAAGAAAATGGATGAGATTTCTCGACAAGGGCATCTTTGATTCCACTATTTTCTTCGAGGCTCTGTGATTGGATGGAAGCTTCCAGGCAACAAAAAATCATGTTGAGACTTTGTTTTGCTTTTGTGATCTTGTAGAACTCAAAGGCTTATTTTGTTGTGTCCTCGTTATTTCGTTCGCTTTTGTGATATGGTAGAACTCGAGGCTTATTTTGTTGTCTCTCTGTTATTAGAGTTACTGAAGAGATTGTGTGAGGGAAGTAGTAGGGATTTAGATCCTCTCTTATAAGAATCACAATCGCGTGCGTTATAAAGTTAATGAAGATGATCTGAATACATTGAGTAGAGGAAGATAACAAGACAATAACTGCTAACAAACCGAGTAAAAAAACTGCCTACGCATCGATGAAATCAAGGCTTTGAAAACTTTGCTTGAACAGAAACCCAATTATTAAAGAAAAAAAAAGCGAAAAACTGAACATGATCAAACCCACAAACAGCTTTAGTATACATCAGTTCTCTCCTCTTGATAAGTACCAAGTTGAGCAAATCTTTTCATTCTTCTCACCATGGCACCCTTAATAATCAACACTAAGTCATCATCAGCGATACAAAAATTCAAAACGAAAAACACCCCCTCTCTTCACAACCAACCCCCCCACAAAAAACCCCATATAATCAAATCCTAATCCCCTATCTACACAACAACGAATTAAACACTAATCATAGTGGTAATCAACAGTCATGAGCCCCCCTTGCCGTGCCAAGCAAAAACAACCTCCCCCAACTCCTCCCAACAAATCCCCTCCCCATCCTTCACCTCCACCATCAAAACCTCCGGCGCCACCTCCGAAACCTCGACAGAGAACACCTTCCCCCATTTCCCCCTCCCGAAGACACTCGCCCCCTTCTTCCTCTCGATCACGTACCCGAACTTCCTCCCAATCTCCTCCACCTTCTCAAGTATCCTCTCTACGTTGGCCCGTCGAACAGCCCCGACAAGTCCAGCCCCGGCGACATCGATATTATATCAAACGCGTTCATCGAAGGCAGCGGAGCAGCCGGGGGATCGAACGTGTCCGCCTGCTCCTCAGTCGCGGGCGGCGCCGGAGGCAGATACGACAGCAGGTTAAGACGCTCGTCCAGGCTATAGGCTCTCCTAATCCAAGGCATGTCCATCAACCCCTCGATAGTAATCCTCGTGTCCGGGTTCGGATCCAGGAGCTTATCGATAACCCGCTTGGCCGACGGCGAGAACCAATCCGGGATCTTATAAGCCCGGAGCTGGATGCTTTTGTACATGGACGGTATGTTAGAGTCGTTGAAAGGTAGGAATCCAGCGAGGAGCACGTAGAGTATGACCCCGCAAGACCAGGCGTCGGCCTTGGCGCCGTCGTAGCCCTTTCGCCGGAGAACCTCGGGCGCCGTGTAAGCCGGGGTCCCGCACGCGCGTGTGAAGAAGCCGTCGAGCCGAAGCTGGTCCGGGAGCGCCGAGAGCCCAAAATCCGAGAGGCTTCAGGTTGCCGTCGCGATCGACGAGCAGATTCTCGGGCTTCACGTCGCGGTGGGACACGCCGCGAGCGTGGCAGAAGCGGAGCGCGGAGATCAGCTGCTGGAAGTATCGGCGAGCGCGGGCTCGGTAGGCGGCCGCGGCGAGCGAGGCGGGAGAAGAGCTCGCCGCCTTTGGCGTGCTCCATGACGAGGTAGATCTTGGACTTGGTGCCATGACTTCGTGGAGCTTGAGGATGTTGGGTGGTCGGCGAGCCGGCGCATTGCGAGACCTCTCGGAGGATCAGAGGGGCGGCGCCGGAGCTTACGAGCGTTCGGCTTGTCGAGGACCTTGACGGCGACAGGTGATGAGTCGGAGACGGAGCGAGCGTAGTAGACTTTGCGAAGGTGCCGCGGCCCAGGAGACGGCCAACTCGTACTTGCCGAGGAGGAGGCCCGGCCGTATTTCGTCTCGTTTCTTGATGCTCATGTCTCCCCTTTTTTTTTATCTTTTTATTTTTATTTTTTTGTTTACAGATGGGAGGAAGGGGTTTGTTGTGTGATGGGTTTATATACGGGAAGGTAGGGGTGGTAAATGATCGAATCGAATCGAATACTAAGGTGTTCATATTTGTATTTGTTTAAAATTATCGAATTCGAATGCGGACTCTATTATTCATATATCTAGTTTTTCGAATTCGAACTCGAATACTTAGTATTTGATAAATATTCATGAATATTCACGAATACTTATCGAATATCAAAGTATATTTATTTCGTTAAAGAGTTTAATTTTCAAATAGTATTATAATTTATAAATAAAAATTACTTCTTTATAATATATGGTGTATATATATTTAAATCAAAATTTTAATTAGAAAACAGATTTAAGATTATTTAAGTCTTAAAATCTATATATAAAACTTAAGTAGAAATGGTAAATGGGTTAAAAATATGACATCATATGTGTAATAATACAAATAATAAGCTGTGATCAAATTTTAAACGAATATTTAATAGACAAACGAATCGAATATACATCTGGTTAAATTCTATTCGTTAATAAACTCGAATACTAAAAACTATTTGTTTAGTGATAAATGAACTATCGAATCGAATATGACCGAATAGTTATTCGAACAATTATCGAACCATTTATTAATTATTTGGTTCATTTCCACCCCTACGGGAAGGGGAGGAGATGCTGATTAATTATTTAATTGGGTAGGGTGTTATTTGCTGTTGTGATATTTAAGTTATAATGAGAGGGGTAGATAGTTTATAGCTGGGACGAGATGAATATTTTATTTCGAGATTAACCTTTTTGAATGTCGTTATTTATTTTATTACATCCAGTAGAAGTTGTTGCTAGTTTGTTAAGGGGGTGTTTGGAATTTCTACAAATTATAGGAAATGGTTTTCATCCAAAATATGATTTTATTGTATTTCTTTAAAAATTATAGGAAAAGTTTTGAGAAGTCAAAAAGTGTTAATTTTCTTGTTTTTTTTACTTTACTTGTTTGGTTTAAAACAAGAAAATGGTCCATAACACCTCCTAATTTTATAGAAATTAAACCAAACACCTCCTAATTTTATAGAAAAGTGTCAACTTTATTGAGAAGTGTCAATGTGGTGTCAGATTTCTGGGTGATTTTCACCCATTTTGAGAAGAAATTGATTTCTATACATTTTGGTATTTTTTTGTACTTTACTGAAAATATTTTTGTAAATTTTTTAAACCAAACACAATTTACGAAAATCTACAGAAAATTTTTAATTACAGAATTATTATTATTAGACATTTTAAGAAAACTTTTCTATAAAATTGTGCAACCAAAATACCCTCTAACCGAAGATATCAATAGATTTAGGGGCTGTTTGGTTCGTTTCCTTGATATAGAGAAATGTAATTCCATGTAAAGAAACACAAGTTTTGAGTTTTCCAAACTTTTCTAAGAAATAGATTGTTTTGCTTTGGTTCGCACATAAAAAATGGTGGGAAACTAATGTATTTATTTTTCTTGTGTTTGGTTCGCATAGAAAAAAATAAAAACTTTTGTAAATAAAGCAGAGAAGGAAAAAAATCTGACGTGGCAGAGTTTTCATCAATTTCACTTGGTTGGGGAAGGAAATCGGAGAGGGAAAAAAATCTTAGTTGGCGGTGATTTCAGCAGAGTTTTCCCTCTTCCATTCGAGCGAACCAAAGCGGCACAAAGAAATGGACGGAAACAAAAAAGCTGACGTGGAGGGCTAAAAATCTGACGTGGAGGGGTTTTCTGAGTTTTCCACCCCTTATAATAGCGAACCAAACAGCCCCTTACAGTTGGAATCTAAGTATAACATACCGTTATTCCATCTGTTTAGTCCTGTGTAGTTGGAGGGTATTTTTACTAACATTGATGTACATGGCGGGAGATTTGTTACAAAATATTTGCCCTATTCGAGTGAGAATTTGGATTCTCTCGGTATCTTGTTAGGGAACCTCTCCGTGAACAGCTACGAATAATTTCAACTCAGTTCCAAACCTCTCGCTAAGAATAATTTCGTCTACACATCACTTTTTTAGATCACAACCAAAATATTATTATTTATTTTTTATTATTTCTTTCAATTTAACACATACTACATTCTTTCTCACTTTTTTTTACGTAAAGAGAAATAGTATTAAATAGTAAGCAATTTGATTAAAGCTACGTTCTTCACTATCTATTAATAACAGAGAGGCTATGAAAGAAGGTTACTATCATCTATATAGTCTAATGACTCTAATCACAGTGATATGTTTTTGAAATTTGATCAATTATGAATAAATCAATGCACATGACCAAATACACAGGGCCCACCACCCGAACATGTTCTAATTTAGGATGCTCTGTATCTCATTTTCAGTCAAAAAAATATACCATATCAAGATAAACATAAGTCCCTGGCGTGGGCTACATTAGCCTATAAAGTTTATGGGTCTATTTTGGTTGTGTTTGGGTTGACCCCACCTTACTTGATCCTCTTCATTGTTAATAATGCAACTAAACTTCATTCGCTTGTGAGCATGAATTAATAAGCTAAGAAGGACTAATACAATAGACACTTGATACATAATTCATCTAGTGGACTGGCGGGGTTTTATTTATATGCCAACTAAGAAACTTGGAATTATGTAAAGTCTCAATTTAATACACTAACTGTAACCAGTCTCATTTCACGTTCAAACTCAATATGCTTTAGGAATATCCATGTCTTTAAGCTTAATAAATATCCAAGCATCATCCACTTTATCCAGATTCAGATCGAGTTCTAAATACTTGGTGGATAAGTTTGATATTTGTACAGATATATTGATGCAAATAAACACTTTTCTGAGCAAAAGAGCATGAGCTTGTTCGAATAGTTTATAATAAGGTTATCGTCTGATCAAAGAAAGAGAACATTAATAATGTTTAGTTTGCTTTTGATAAATTAACTTTTCGAGATAGAAGATGAGAAAGATATAACTTCAAAGTTGAATACAAGCATATCCACATACAAGTTTTATAAGTTATCAGATAGGATTTTCAAATATCTAAATTGTTATGGTGTTCTCAATCACCAAAGTGCAGCCCTTCACCAGGAACAATACAAGTGTACTTATGCCTGCAACATCCCAACCAGATTGGCGGCCAAGATCAGCAAGGATCTCCCCTCATCTGACTCGCCGAGTCGACATCCCCTTAGAACGACTCGAAAGGCGGAACTTGTCGACCCCCCTTTGTTGAAGACGACTCGCCACGAGTCCACTCGACCATTTGCTAGACGCCGTACGAAGTCGACTCGAAAGGCGCTATTTTCCGACGAAGCTAAAGGACAACCTCTTCCTCGAGCTTATCCGCTCTGATAACGTGTCAAGATCACATCAATGCTTGTCAGGCATCATCATGCCTCTGCCCCCGACAGTCTTCATGACTTATTAGGCCATGCTATGCTCCGCGCGCCACATCACATCATGTCAGCGCCGATCACGCAGCTAGTCGCCAGCCGACACCAGTAAAGCAAGTGATAACGCAACCGTCAGCACACGCTTCTTCACCGTCATCCTGTGCTCGACCAGAATGACGGTTCTACCCCTCATACGTACAGGTATAAATAGAGGTACTATTCTAACTTAGAGGGGGATTGGATCTCTGGATCCAAACCCTCAACTCAGATCTGATTTCAGTCCAACATCGGACTCTGGGGATTCTCCACGAATTCTTTTGCATCTTATTGCACACAAGAACTCTCACTGTTCTTCTCACCTCACTCAAGCTCACCAGCTGACTTGATCGTCTGAAGTACCACGAGGGAACTAATCTCTGCCCTCTTACGAGTTTCTACATGTGCAGATTGATCAACATCCCAATTCAAGAACCAAATATAAAGTCAGGGAAGGAAGCGGTCCCTCTTCAACACTAAACTGAACCTATCCTACTTTGGATACAACTGACTGTTTGATCTTAGTCATCAATAGTTTGGTGCCTACCTTAGGACATCTTTTCTTTTTCGAGAAAACATGTCAAGTTCTAAACAAGGGTCTGATTAGTCTCACCTTGTAGAATGACATCAGAGCTACGTTACTCAAGCTCAACTTGAGGAAACAACTCACAAGCTCTCTTGATCTTTCCAAGAGCAATTTACCGTCATTACGGATAAACTTCTCAGTCGGCTTCCACATCCGTAGCGAGCTACCTCAGCTCTCCCTCCACCTTCTGGTGACCGGCGGTCGGAGACTCATTCTCTTGCAGGGGCCTAGCAAACGATCCCGACTCGGACTCCTCATGCAGCTGCCGATCAACGGAAGGATCGCGTCGAACACTCGACCCTGCTACCTCATCAGTCGACTCGCCGACGTATCCTCCATCATCCGGAACTCACCGACGAGAGTCCCGACACATGCAACCTTAGGCATCGCACTATGGGAGCAGTCTCTAAGACTCTCTCCCACCGCCGTGCCTCTCCAGCCCCCTCAGCTACCTTAGGGGCCTTTGGATACAATAGAGTGTACAGACCGATCGCATGCGTCATTAAGGTTAACACCCCTCTTTCAGATAACCTCATGAATGCCTCATGTGAGAAGTTTAAGATGCCTCACATGGAGAAATACAAGGGCGAGGGAGACCCCTCCATCCATGTTCAGAGTACTATGATGTGATGAGCTTGCTCCAAGCATCAGAAGCAGTCATCTGTCGATACTTCCCCATCACTCTTTCAGGGAGTGCCAAGCTCTGGTGGAACACTCTTGAGAAGAAGTCCATCAACAGCTTCCACCAGCTCAGCCAGAAGTTTATCCATCACTTCCTGGCCGACACCAAGCAAAAATTGCCCCCTCATGTGTTGATCCAAATGAGGCAGGAGGCTAGCGAGAGCCTTCGAGCCTACTTCAATAGGTTCCAGGCGAGAAGGCTAGAAGTTAATAACCCAGGGAGTGTAGTTGCTATATCAGCACTCGTGTCCGGCCTACAGAGCAATGAGTTGGCCGACTCGCTTGCCAAGAAGCCAATCACCAATTATGAGCACCTGATGGTCAAAGCTCATGGGTACATGGAC